GAGAGTGTATAGGTACAGACAAAAGCGGCGAAACAGACTCTTTTCAAAGAAAATAAGGTACCAAGTTCGGAAATTGAACGCCGAAAAAAGGCCTAGAATCAAGGGGAGGTTTGTCAAGAGGCCATCCCTCTTTGATTCTTCACTTCATATTCCTCATTAATTACGTGTCTCTCCAACCAGTTTTTGCTTATTTTTCTATTTTTATGACCCTAGATCATACTCTCTAGTTCATCACATGCATTCTTATTTCTTTCAATTATATTTTAAAATAAATAGATTCAATTCAATTTGTCCATATGTGAAGCATTTAGAAAGATGTCCTACAATTCAATTCCCACATGCATTATTTTTTTAATTTTCAAAAATTCTGAAGGACTGATATAAGGAAATTAAGTTTTCACTTTTTGTTTAATAATTTTTTTCAAAACTAAGCTCATATTTTTTAAAAACACTCCTTGCATCCAACCCGGTATATGATTTCAGTTACTAAAAAAATAAATAAAAACAATTTGATGTTTTCCTACTCTGTATTAGAGACACAAAATAATTATGTGACTACATATAATTTTCTTACAAAAAATCTGTGTGTATATGTTGGGAATTAAACACACAATACACACAAATATCTACGAGAATCGAGAGAAGACAGAATACAAACAACACATAAAAATTTTAACATGATTCTGTTTCCATCTTTCTGGTTCTGTTTTTCATAATCCACGACTACAACAAGAGGAATTTTACTCTGTATTAAAAAAATTTAATATTAATTAAAATAAACATATGTTTTTTTGAGTGGTATGATTTTTTACATTTTATACAAACATTTAAATAATTTTAATTTAAAAAAATCAATCAGACACCACATATTTCGAACGAGAAGGTGAGGGAATTAAAAAATTTGGCCCAACTAAGGATAAATTAATTGAGGATCCAAACGAGAATGTGAGAGAATATAAAAATTTGGCCCAATTAGCGATAAATTAATCTGGGCTCAAAGTTTGCTAAAGCCTGCCTGGTCCAAATTAATGTACGTGCTTGGCCCTTACTAGTATTAATCTAGTTTTAACTTTTTACAGTCAAAATCAATAAACTCTGACCATTAATATAATAAAACTTATATTAGATATTGTTACAAGAATACTTTTATTAGTTTATCTTTTAAAATAATTTCAAACTATTTTTTTCTTACTAATATACCATGTAATTTTTATTTAATTACTCCTTATAAGTGAAATATCAATTTTGATTGGCTACAGAAAGTCAAAAGTGGACAAACTTTCTAGGACATAAGGAATATTTATATTCTCTACCTAATTTTCAACCACACAATTTCATTTAACTTAGTGTTTGTTCTCTTCGATTTATTCTTATTCCTTACTCCCTCCGTCCCAATTTTAGTCGCATGATTTTATTAACGAGGTCTAGCTAAAATTATTTTCTATTCAATTTATTTGAAATTTGGTATGAAATTAAAAAATAAAATTTATATATTAAAAAACTACCTCAAAAGTTCAACAAAATAAGAAATGACAAGACTTATTTTTTCAAATGGATAGCGAAAATGAGTAAAAAAAATGTAATTAAAGTTTGACACTGTATTGGAATCAGACTAAACTAGACGAAGGGAGTTTTACATGTTCTTATTGAAATGAGACTACAATAGGCCAGATTAGATCAGATAAAAATAGTTTTAAATATAACTATAATCAGATTAAGCAAGAACGAATCAAATCAAATTAGATCCGTATTTATCCAAATCGGATCACTATCAATCAAATTTAAAACAAGCTCTAATCTCCAAACTAGATCAATTGTTAAACGTTGTTGTGGCACGGAGACATGTGAGTCGTGTTGATAGTGTGACAGTTATAATATGATAATGTGGTGAGTATTGCAGTGTAACAATGACAATGAAAACTTTTATTTTAGTTTTGAAACACCTATTAATTCTATTTGAGTGTTTTTATAATTTTTTATTCGAATATAGAGAATTCTCTCTGAGTCTCTCATATATTTTGTACTTTTTATCCGTAAATTAAGCATTTCTCAATACTCCGTATTAAATTTTGAGTCCCTGCATAAATGTACTTTAATTTATGTGATCCTCACGCTCACAATCTTCAATAAATTGTGTCTAAATTAATTTCTTCAAAGCCTTCTTTAACTACATTTCTTTAATTTAACATTTTTTATATTTAATGTTCGTGATTTTATGGCCGCTTAATGGTAATTTGTTAAGACAATTTTCGCAGAGTGACATATTTTTGTTAAGAAAAAAAAGCCAAATTTGGAATTTATGGAGATTCGACGACAATATCCCAACAATCAAATCAAGAGGGATCTATTAACATCAATATTATGATCATACCGGTTGACACTAATTTAAATCGATTAAAGTCATTCGTTCGAACTTGCCAACTTGGAATAAATAATATTACCTCTATCTTAAAGTATATTTGTTAAGTTTTAATTTTTTGTTATTAAAATTGATAAAATTTGATCATTAATCAAATAAAAATTTATACCCAAATATTAGATATTGATATGAAAATAATGTTATTAAGTTTGTTATATAAAATAATTTCAAAATATTATATTTTCAAATTATAGATAAAAAATCAATAGCAAGTTGGCCACTTAGGACTTGTTCATTTCGCATAATTTGAAAGACTCTGATTTGATTGGAATAAGTTTTGAATTTTTAATCTGATATTGTCAGATTTAAATGTAGTTATATTAAAAGCTGTTTCTGATCTGATCTGATTCAATTAAGAATAAGTAATAAGTAATAAGAATAAGATGCTCATAAATGAGATTGCATTTATGAGATCTTCGACTTCGAGCACTCTTTCTTCGAAGCCATTATTGCGGTTCTAAAGTCCAGTTATAAAATATAGATTTTCTTACATATTTTTCATGCGCTAATAATTGGACCTTTTTTCATAAAACTAACAAGAGTTGAAGAAACAACAAGAAAACCAGAGTACCTGTCATTCAATTTATCATTATGAAAAATTAGGGATAGGATAACGCGAACCTATAGATCAAGAGTTGATGTTGCAAGCAATGAGACGGGGCGAGATTCCTACTCAGTATAAATGCTCTAAGAGCACTGGAAATACAGTTAACGCCCCGAGGTGTTTTTCCAATTTTTAACGGCTAGAGCATTAAACACCACCCCAACGGCTTCATCGAAGCGTTAGGTGTAGTGCGTTAAACGTTTAACATACGGAAAATGCATCATATATGGCCCTCTTACAACGCCATTATAGTTGGTTAAAACAAAAAAAAACTCTCTCCCCTCTATAAATTCAATATTTTTTTTAAAATTAAACACACACAATATCTCTCTTCTTTGTTTTTAAAAAGAAATTCAAATTTTTTCATCTTTTTTTAATATGAACCCTTTCGATTTAACATTCCTTCGTTCGGTCTAGAGCCAAATGAGCAAGCGATGTATATTTTCCAATCGTGCGGAAAAAATCGCTCGATGTCCGATACGTAAAACTCGGTGAATCTCGAGGACCCAAAGTCGGTTCCGGAGACTCAACCGAAACCAAGTGAATCAAAAAAAGTGCACGCCGGAAGAGTCACAATTCAAAGGGCGACAAGCCAATGGGCGAGGCAGCACAGTCCATTTCAAAGTGGACGCTGAAGGAAGAATCGTTGTTGGCATCGGCTTGGGTTGACGTCTCCGAGCATCCTATCGTCGCTGGTAAAATTTATATGTTTTTAAATATGTATTGTATAAATGTATTGTGTGTAACACACACACACACACACAGTCCCTTCGGGGACATCCGATATATATGTGTGTGTGTGTGTGTGTGTGTGCATGCTAAAAAAGTTTCGTTTAATTATATTTTTTTTAAAGTTCTGAACAAACGAATGATGCGATATGGGATCGTATCGAGGAGAAGTTCTTTGTGGCGATGAACAATGACGCCTCCTACCGAACCCTAGACCAACTCACTTCTAAATGGGGCCACATCAACTGTAAAGTTCGAAAGTTTATCAAAGTTTACGAAGAATGCTCTCGGTCCTGGAAGAGCCGGATGAACGATTCTGATGTTCCGCGGCAAGCCACCGCCTGGTATCAAGACGACGAACATCAAGACAAGGTCCCTGTTGATCTTTGGAGAATTTTAAGTCGTTTGTCCAAATGACAACAACTCACCAACCCCGAGGCCGGATCGTCAAAGAAAACACCTTCTGCCGAGGTTGATGTCGATGGCACTATTGACTCATCGGAACAAAGGCCTCCCTTCAACCTAGACGACTCCGATGACGAGGATCCCATTCCACAGCCAATCGGAAGGAAGAAGACAAAATTCATTGCCTCGAGTTTTTCAGGGTCTGGCTCTCTTTCTTCTCACGAAGATATCGGCCGGGCATTGGTTGAACAACTTCGGGTGTTCAATATTAAGGAAGAGAGTGAGAAATGAAAGCAAGAGGAGGAGATCGAAATAATGGAAACCGACTTTTACGTTAACCGACTTCAAACACATGTTTTACAACAGAAGATAAAATGAAATCAATGCCAAATATAATTTGCCTAAGTTTTTTATTAATGTATTTTTTATTACATGCTCTTTTTTATTGAATGTAATTTTTTCATTTAATACGGAGTAAATTATTGTCATTTAGATTCAATTAATTAATGATGTTTTATTAATTTAATATTACAAAATGTATATTAAAAATTTTAAAAATAAAAGTTTGACGCTTAGTTTGAAGCATTAGGGCTTCAATGAATTTTTAGTGAAATTATAAGGTAAGTGAATACTGACATAACAAAAAAAATTTGAAATCCCAAAATGAAATCCCGATATTTCACGAGTATTTCGAGTGCTCTAAGCATCATTTAAGGAAGGATATCCCAAATAAATTTTTCCTTCGCTCATTTCTTGTGAGGCACCCTATAAAGAGACGAATATTTTAGGGGGTATAAAGTATAACCCTCATAAATATAAATGAAAATAACAGGAAAAATATAATAGTATACCGTATATATACGTTGTCGCCTTCTCTCGAGGAAACCTAGGAATTGATCTTTTCTGTTTCTTGTTTTTTTGCCCGAAACCATGGCCGTCCAAACCACGGCGGATCTAAGAAAAGTCACGATTCGGGTCTCAGACCCTGACCCGGACGCCACCGATTCGTCCTCCGACGAAGAAGGTCGAGAAACGCCGGCAAAGCGCCGCAAAATCGCGGTCTACGAAGCCTATATCCGCCGGCCGAGGATCTCGCCGGCGGATCCATCACCGGTGACCCGAAAACAGGCGGGAGGTCCCATGAAGATCCCCGTTTCGGATCCGGGTACGCGACGAATGCCGAAAACACCCTTCCCCCAAGGGGTCAGGAAGCGGAAGTGGGGGAAGTGGTGCTCGGAGATCAGAAACCCGTTCACACGGCGGCGGGTGTGGTTGGGAACATTCGATTCCGCGGAGGCGGCTTCAGATGCTTACCTTGGCCGGAAGAAGGAATTCGAGATTGCCCAACAGGGAATAACAGAGATTCCACCGATTGAATCCAAGAAAGAGGACGGATCGGAGGAATCTGCAGAGGTTCTTGAAGTTCCGGTGAGCTCTGATTCCTGTTCGAGTAACAGAGAGATAGTAGCAGAAGAAGATGGAGAGATGTGGTTGGGGAGGTGGGTCCCGATGGGGGATGGGAGAGAGGTGAGTTATTCAGTGAAATATGGAATCCCCATTATTGATAACTTTGGGCATATGCTTGGTGAATTTAGGAGACTAGATGATGAGCTGTGGATCTGTAAACCTGAGGAAGATGATGACTACTACCATGGCTGCTAGTACCCATTTATGGTAATTAGGTCAATCATCCTCATTTGATTTTTTGTTTAGAGGCAAATTCTTAGGTGGTTTTAAGGTCTACATTCAACTTTAGTATATAAATACTATTAAAGGTTGGGTTTTTTGTAAAATAAAAAAAACCTGCTTGTGAGCCCATGAAAAGCTTAAGAAAGTGTAAGGTTCCGTTTGGTACACGGAATTCAAATTACGGAATTGGAATTGGAGATAACAATTCCAATTCTGTATTTTGGTAGCCCAAAAAGATGTGGATTTGGAATTGGTAGTACCAAAAATGAATTGGAATTGCGGAATTTAAATGAATTCTATAGAATTTCAATTTTCAATTCTGTTCTGTAAACCAAACAGGATCCTAAATCCTTAGGACCAGGAAAGCACAATTCTTGTTTGAACCATGGAGGTGTGGGTTAGGGATTTGTAAATCAATGGAGATGAGTGGAATCGAGTGTTTGAATTTGTATTTGTTTAATTTTTTAGATTTGAATTTGAATATGAAAATAAAATAAGTACGGAGTAGAATATATCGGATGAGATTTTCATTTCCATTCGATTGATATTTGAATAGTTACCATCATGTAATTGACATTACTTGTTCTCATTGAGAATAACAGTCATGCACTATCATTTTCAAGGATGACTCTGATGTCCCCCCGGAGGTTGCATTAGATAGTTAATGAGGTAAATACAAGGAGTTTAATGAGGATAATTGCCTTTGATATAAAGAAAAAAAAGGAGGATGGTTAAAATGATGTGGTAGATATAAAGTAAAGGAAAGAAGGAAATGTGAAATTTTTAATGGGACACAAAGAGTAAACTTGAACCACCAAACGGTCACTGCTCTGTTACTTCAGCTTATAACATAGTGTGAACTACTGAGAAGGATAATACTAAGACTTGAGACTTTGAACTCAATGTGGAAGATAGAGGCCACGAATAAAGTTGTTGTGTTCATCTGGCTGCTGAAACACAAGAATCTTATACCAAATTTGGAGAGGAAAAGATGGGGGTTTGCATTGGATGCTTGTTGCTTGAATTGTCTAAAGAAATTTGGGAAGTATTTCTTCCCTATGGGACTTTTAATAGGTTCTTTTGTAGGGACTTTGATGCTTGAGTTGACATGAATGTTTCAGGTAAGCTAACTAGCAAAGTAGAGCATAACTGAGGAGCTTCGTTTGCAACCACGACATGGCGGATATGGAAGTGGAGATGCAACAAAATATTCCAAAATGAGAGTTGAGAAAGAAGAGACCAAAAAGGCTTTTTGACGACGAAAACCCCCGGGCAAAGTGCAAAAGGCAAAGCACACAAGTGTCAACTATATATGAAGGGGTGGACATCCCTGCATATATGGGTCGCTGGCTTCAGTTGCACGACGAGATTAAGCAGTGCAACTGTAGGAGAAGTTTCAGCCTTATATACAAGGATCAAATGGGGGGGCATGGAAATAGGGGATAAAGAAGCTCAACTTAATGGTGATAACTGTAGGGGATAAAGAAGCTCAACTGTAGGGGATAAAGAAGCTCAACTCAGTGTGGTGTAAGAGTACGCGTTGGCAGTGTGATGAAAAAGTGATAACAATAATGTAATATGTCAGTGTGATCTTTCAACCATCGGTGATCTGCGGTGGTACTCTGGTGGTCGGCGGCGATGGATGACAGTGTGACGGTGACATTGTGACAGTTACAAATTGACAATATGGTAGTGTGGCAGTGTAGCAATGAGAGTGTTAACTCTTATTTTAGTCTTAAAAAACTTATGACTCATATTTTGGTATTATTATAGTCTTTCACTCCTATCTAGAGAATTCTCCCTAATTATTACTCATTGAAGACTAATTTAGAAAAACACCTTTCGCGAATTCATTTGGACAAAAAAAAAGAATATAGCCCCTCTATCTCAAATTGTTTTACACTTTACATTAAACGAAACAAAATTTCACATTTTTTAAAACCTCATTTGGAACATGGAATTTAAATTGTAGAATTGGAATTGAATACACCAAAAGTTGGAATTAAATTTGTACTCCATTTGTACACCACAATGGTGTATTAAATTTGTACCCCATTTACACCAAAAATTAGAATTAAATTTGTACCCCATTTACACCAAAAATTGTACCCCATTTGTACACCGCAGTTATACACAAACATTTTGATAGTTTACACCGACACAAGTGTTGGTGCGTTAACAAAAATTTACACGGACACAAAGTGTTGGTGCGTTAACAAAAATTAGTTTTACACTAACACAAAATGTCAGTGCAAACCAACGGTGTACGTACAAAATTAGGTACAAAAATTTGGAGTACAAATAGCTTTATCCATGATATTTATCTTATGAAAAATGCTAGGGGTACACCAATTTTTGTACCCCATTTGTACCCCCCTCCATCTCCACCACACAAAGGCCGTGTTTGGAAAACAACATTTGGGATAGTTTTTAGCATCTTTGACTGACTTTGACTTTTTTGAGCAAGCGAACCGCCAAAACCATTGTTTGGCTAATGACTTTTTCACTTGGCATTTTGATCCGAAAAGCCAAAATCTGAAATGCCAACGTGAGTAGCATTTGGACATGGCGGTTAGGAAAAATATTTTTTTAAAATCATTTTTGTTGAAAGATATTTTATAATATATGTAAAAAATAAAAATAAAAGTTAAAAAAATTAAATACGAAAAAATAAAATGAAATTAAAAAAAAATTATATTTATAATTCATTAAAAAATTTATATTTATAATTTATTATGAATTAAATGAAATTAAAATTTAATATTCCATATAGTAAAGATTTAATTTTTACAT